TTTCAAAACACCGTGTATGAATAGTTCAATTGCACGCCATATGAAACAGTGAATGGGTTAAAAGATTTATAGTGAGCTATTTTAATTCGCTAACATTGTTTATTGGCCATTTTTTCGTTCGGATGTGGTGTAATCAATTACGAATCTAGACTGGCCTGGGAACTAAGCGACCCGATTTATGGGGCCAAACAAAAATAGCAGTATTTCTTCGACGTCAACGTAAGGAAGTTGAAATACTATTCGAAATGAACCTATTTTATCTGAGACGAGTATATTTGTTTTTACAAACAAACCTATAAATTATGTACTCTTTTATACTTTGTGAAATAGCTCCACTGGTTTGTTTTAATTATTTTCTCAAACATGCTCGGAAATGTTTGCATTACTTTCAAAAACCGAACACGGAAATTTTGTCATTTATGGACCGTGCGACTTTTTCCCGGCCAAGGGCTGCAAAGTACGTATGAAAATCCATTACTGTTATCTTCTGTAAACTTTTAAATCTACCTACTAATAGATGAATTATGTAATGAGGCAAAAGAGAAACTCATACAGCCAACTGCCCAGTGTCCATAACTGCGAGAACGAAAATATAGTAATACATATACATTCAAACACATCATCAGAAGTTCATCAATTAATGTGCTTGAAAAAACAATAACATTTTCTTTTAGCAATTGTATAAATTTTAATGTCACTGAATTAATATTTTGTTCTATTACACGTCTTCCTCTCTTTAGTCTTTTATTATTTCCTTACATTGTTTGTGAAAAATTCTATACATGTCTCGGCGGGAACGGGGATTGCTTGACTCGTATCAATACAAGGTCTTGTTGGCGCTCAACCTTGTAACTCATACTCGTCCAGCAACCCCTTACTTCCCGGCTTCTACAATAATGTACTATTAATACAAAGATTGAACAGAAGGAAAAGTTCATTCTTCTTATTGTATCGATGGCACATACTATAATGCTTGACATCGTGGTGAAAGGATTTTCCAATCGGCGTAAGGTATTCGCCGGACCTACCTATTTAGACCTTGTTAATAAAGCACTCTTCTGGGGAGTGACCTTAGATAGTAAACTTCAATGGTTTCCACATATATCTTACCTGGCCAGCAGATTAAGCTCCGCTGCATACGTAATCCGCAGAATACGTGAGCTTACCGATGTTAGTACTGCTAGACTAGTTTTCTTTAGTTACTTCTATAGGATAATGTCCTACGGGATTCTCATGTGGGGTAAAACGGCAGATATTCAAACCATATTTGTATTGCAAAAACGAGCGATTCGTTCTGTGTACCGTCTAGGCTCTCGGGTTTCTCTCAGAGAAAAGTTTAAGGAGACTGGTATCATGACTGTGGCATCACAGTACATTTACTCAAATATTTTATATGCCCGTAAAAATATACATAATTTCAATAAGGAAGAAGATATCCATAATATTAATTATATTATTTACTCCATAGGTAAATTTATTTTACCTATGGAATAAATAATCTTTGACTTTAACTTTGACTTTGGCCGATTGTTGCCTAAGGTGCGCCAGACGTGCGGAAAAGGAATGGTGTGTCGTCCTTTCGTCCACTCTAAAGTTCCTTGATCTGGACCCCGATTCAGAACTCTTCGATATTTTAATCGAATAGTTCCTTTGGATATCGTTCTCGAATCGAAGGTCGCTTTCCGAGCTATTCAGTTAAACGATTTTTTATATATATATATATATATAAAGAAAAATGAAAATCTTTTCATATACATTCTTGAGATTTTAAAGGCCTAAAATATTGGAATGCATTAGTCTTGCATTAAAATAAATTAATAAAATCGAACAAAATCCATACTGTATTTAAAATAATAAGAGATTTCCATATTAATTCTTGCTTTGTAAATAATAGGATGTTCGGTAACTTTCATTCATAACTGTGAACAACGTTGTGTGTTCTGAACAACGTTTGTAGCCTTTGCCGGACGAGTTCGAGTAATCGTACGGGAGTGACGTCATTTCGTTTCGGTTTCGAATACGACAGTTTGACATTCGATTCGGGTGTTGTGAGTAAAAATGAAAAGAAATCGTACGATTCTGAATCGAGCCCCTGGACTCGAACCTGTATCTGTATGCCAACGAATCACTAGCTCAGTACTAGCAATATGGATTGGGAACTTCATACATATCATTAAATTGCTTTGCAGATGTGTGTAGATTTCGCCACGTTGTTTTCCTTCAACGAAAAGCTAAGGGTCGAAACACAAAACTGACATGCGACGTTGCATCGCAGAAATCTACGAGCTCGCACGACGCATCGCAAGAATTAGCCAATTGCTCCGCATCGCGCGTTCCTGTGCTGTTAATCTTCTTTGTGTTTTTTCCCTATACTTTCTTATCAATAACAGCAGTGCAACAGTCTTTTTACGATCATGTCACTACCCAGTTTAAAAAATACGTTCAATACGGTTGACGATGGTCGAAGGAATGATTACCCAAACCGTGGCAGTAAGACACCTTGCCACACGAAATTGCATCGCAGTAATTCGCGTCGCAGTCGTCTGCGTTGCGAATTCGCATCGCGCCGATTCGCAGTTTTGTGTTTCGAGCCTAAAACCTGAAAAACTCATTGAATATCTGGATTCGAATCCAAGACTACTGTAATAGAATTATAAAGAAAAATGTATTTCCTAACAAATTCGTAAAACTACATACTAGAGCTACATACGTTAAACAAAAGCCAATAATGCTACGACGCCTGCCAGCTACGTGGAAAACGTAGCATATTTCGTAGCTACAAACGTAACGTCTACGAGAAATTCCATTTATAACAAGTAAACTATTCGCGTACATTTCTGGGAATATTATAGCGCATAAATACAAAGTTATCGCTTACAAGACAATATTGTGTGTCGTGGTATGTTTGGAAGTGGTACTTTAGTTTGTTAATGGTATTTAGTATATCTATAGATGGTAACACTTGAAATACCATGAAATTTAGATGACCCTTTTATCGGGGAACAATAACACTAAATTTACTACCTTCTAACATTATTAACATGACATTTTTTTATATTTATTTCATTATTGTGACGTCTCTCGTCAAAACTGCCTCCTTGGCCGAACGGTTACCATACCGGACTGCCACGCAGACGTTTCAGGTTCGATTCCCGAGCCGGGAAAAATATTTGTATGGTCTACATTTATTTCTCTCGTGAGTTTGGGTGTCATTTGTGGTTGTCTATGTGTGTGTCCATGGCACCCGCGACAGGGTTTCCATAGTGCGGGGCTATGTTGAGTGTGTGCGTTATTATATTGTATATAATATTTTAAACAAGGTACACTACTATTTGTTGCCTGTTCGAAAGTCACCCGCTCCCGCACCTTGCCTCGAGCCCCCGTCCGCGTGGACACGACACTTCACAAAATTATACATTTCATACTATAGATATTATAGAATTTAAGTTTATTTTATTGATATACTGTTATGTAATTGTAGTTGTATGTAGTTGTACGCACACTAAATAGTATGTCGGTTTTCTTGTCTGTTTATTTATTTATTGTTAAGTTCTGTGTTGTTGTCAGTGGCCCACTCGCCCCGACCTTGCTGAAAATCAGCGGCACGAAACGGTTTAAAAAAAGCCTTTTGTAACTAAAGCTCAGCAAGTTCCGATTACTATTATTATTGTTTCTCTGTTGTTTTGTTTATATGGGTGTCTGTGCTTGTGTAATTTTCTAAAATCCAAATTTAAGAAGTATTTTACAAACTTGACGATTGCTTTGTTGACCTATTACATCGTAATAACAAGGTTTCTTTCGTTTAATATTATGCACTATTTTAATTATTTAGTACTAGCCGGTGCCTGCGACTTCGTTTGGGTAGAATAAATACTTTGAGTAGCCTACTGTACTACTTACTTGACAAATGTTTGGTTTTCCATATAAACTTTTACCCATTATTTCACCCCATTTAAGATTTATTTTTGTAACAAAAAGTATCCCATCTATCTCTTTACCAAAATTCATCAAATTTGGTTCAGCGGCTTAGACGCGAAAATGTCACAGACAAAGTTACTTAAGCATTTATAACATTAATTGGACGTAGTTAAGCAAAAAGGATCCAATCCACAAAATTGTCAAATCCTGAAGTCTCACCTCTTAGATCAGCAAAAAAAATTTTGCATATAAACATAAATAAATATCTTTGGAGCTTCATGACATTCAATATAAGTTTTGAAAATAAAACAAGAGTGAGAAACATTTTTAAACTTCAAACTGCCATATCTCGAAAGTGACTGGATGTGAATTGGATCCTTTTTGTTTAACTACGTCCAACTTACGTATATATTTTTGTACCACAAATATTATTTGGCAGGGTCTCTGCTCGAAATTTCTCGACTCGAGAAATCCCGGGAAATCTGGCCAACTTCGAGACGAGAAAAATATCCTCGAGAACTCGAGAAATTAAATTGCGTTTTTAAATTACTGAAAAATTGACTGAACGCGCTTGTACGAATATGTCCTAAACAGTTAGACATCTCTTACATGTTCACAACATTTCTTTGAATGCATCAGAAGATACAGAGGGTTCAACTTCTTGTGGTACGAGGTCTTTTTGTTGATTCGTTTTGTAATTTTTTTATAAGACATGTCATTATTTGTAATATTGATTTGTTTGTAATGTAAATGTAATAGCTTAATGTTGAATATTTATTAATGTTCCCAAGAGTTATGTGGTTAAGACAGGTTGACTTAATAATAATAAGGATCATTTCATAAATAAAATAAAACATGTTAATTTTATTACATATTGTGGTTTTTTCTATTTGTATTTATAGTTGACTAAGCTGATTATTTAAGGTTTTAAAAAAAATTCTCGAACAACTCGAAAAACACGGGAAATCGAGGTCGGGAATTCCTGAAGCTCGAGAACAAAAAATATGTCGAGAAATCAGAAACTCTAATATTTGGGTTATGATTTTGTACCGCAATCATAATTAGGTATATATTTTTTGCAGCTATCCAGCAATCCGTACGCCTCGTTACACAGTTTTACAAGCGCTGCGACTGTGGTTCGGCAACCCGCGTAATCGGAGCCATTTGCAGGTGAAACCCGTTAATAACTATTATTATTTTCTTTTTGTGTCCAGGAGTGTATGTTATTAAGAAGTAGAGTCAATAATAATCTCAGTACAGAGTACTAAAAAAACCAACCTAAAAAATACGTGGAATTACGTACATTTGCTAAGTTTTATCCGCTCACGCGATGCACTCATCCTACCGCAAAATGGCGGCTATTTGGTTTCGCAAATTAGAAAAGGATTCAGTTTAAATACAAGTTTTATAAATAAAAATTATTATTCTGCATTGCTAAATAAAAACCCTCCGTACTACAACAAAAACATCTCAAATAAAATGCAGTAATACACCGCAAATCCTGCACTTAAAAAGCACTAATGAAATTTTTGGTGTACTTGGGTAAATATGATAGTATTCCGTTTGAGTGGTTCTAACGTTAACCATGAAATTACTCCTTAAAGTATAGTTTACAAACATTTATATTCAGGGTAAACTTAAAAAACGCTACTTACGGTATGTTTTCAATAAATAAAACCGAAATCACAAGCCCAAACAATAACACACACGATTGTCGTGACGTATTTTTGAAGTTGTTTATTTTTTTTTAAATGACAGACCCAGGCATTAAAAACTTTATGGTTTGCTAGAGTAGTTACCGAAATAGCAATTAGTATTAGTTCTTTTACCTGTTATAACTTCGATATCCGATAAATCGGTATAAAATCATCACCGGCACCTCTAGGTGTGGTATGTGTCTACGGCTGCTTGTATCGCGTGAGCGGATATTGAAATATCCTAAAATTCGCCACTACACAGGACTTGACACTGGAGATAATAAAAATCGGTTCTTACTATTCAAAGTATATTGAGAGAAAAACGCCTTGAATTGGAGAAAATCAAGTCAACCATTAAAATAATTGCTCCTTAAGTAAAATTTAGGCGCTATTTATAAAAATGAATCTTCATGCGTGAACAGCCACCCTTACAGGTGGATGATTTTCTTCAGAATAAAATGGGGCCACTATGGAAGTACCCCCTTTCCAACAAAAAAAGAATCATGAAAATCGCTTCACTAATACCGGAGTTATCGCGTAACATACATACAAAAAAAAAACAAAAAAAACATACAGTCGAATTGAGAACCTCCTCCTTTTTTGAAGTCGGGTAATAATAAAGATAAATTTATTTCAAAATAACTTAGGGTCGAAACACAAAACTGCGAATCGGCGCAATGCGAATTTACAGTTCGCACCTGTTATTGATAAGAAAGTACAGGAAAAAACTCAAAGAAGATTAACATCGCAAGTTCTTGCAATGCGTCGGGCGAGCTCGTAGATTTCTGCGATGCGATGTCGCATCGCAGTTTTGTCTTTTGACCCTTAATTCAATACAATACAAGGAAACCAAATGTAAATAAAGCTGTTATAGTATTGAAATAAACCATAAGAAATGAATCTAAATTATACAATTTTCATAGTAAAGCTATACATTTTAATATTAGAACCTAATGTGTGCTTGCGATGCCTAAACTAAGTAAATGTGTACCTGTATTTTAGGCATCTTTTGGGCAAATTTCTAAATTAATGGTTATATAAAAATAATTATGAAACAACTTCCAGCAAGCCTTCTGTTTCATTGTAAGTTTTACTCTTAAGCCAGAAATTGACGATCTTGTTACATTCTGTATTGTTCATGGCGAAAAAATTCAAAGTAGAATTTAATTTAAAGTAAAGGAATGTAACAAGGAATCTATGCGAGTGTGCTGTGCGGAGTTGTGTACGAGATGAATAGGTGCCGGATCGTCTGTGATTGGTTAAAATAACGGCATCAAATGAAGTAATTGAGTCGTTTTTCAAAATTATTTGCTAGATTAACAATAGCCGGACAGAGAGGATATTGCACTCGTTGAGGAGTATGCGGGTTGGGTAATCGAAAGGACGGAAATTGATGACTTTGTGAACAGCTCTCTGCGCTCTTCCTAGGTTTATTAGGGTAGTCTTATGTGCACTGCCTCAGGATATAATGCAGTAGAGTAGCAATGATTAACAGAGTGCTAAATACACTGATTTAGGGCGCTGCTAGTTGCATGACTTTATTATTATTATTACTTTATTTATACAATTCATTTTTATTTTTATTTGTAAACTTGGCACACTACGTCTCCCGCTCCGATTAGCTTTCCTCTACCTCAAAGGTTGGCTGGAAGAGATCGCCGCCGAAAAGACCGCCTTTGCCCACATTAGTTTAACTTGTTTATGTACTGCTCTTGTTTTTGTGTGTGAACAATAAAGTGTTTATCTATCTATCTTTCGAACTCTAGAAGCAAGCTACACGCTACAATATGATGTTTGAAATTAAAATGTTGATCCATTATGACACCTAAATATTTAATGTTGCTTGTGTTGTCCAGTGTTGGACAAGTACAGAGGCTTGCATTTATTCGAACTCATACAAGCTCCTGTCCTTCTGATTACATAGAAAAAAATATATATCACAATGTAGGTCAACAGCTCACTGTCTATGTACTGATGGGAGAATTTCCTTTTCCTGTGTCAGAGACCCATTGCCGACATGAGTCGCCAACTTTCTTGTACTGTTACATACATAACTGTGTACGCCTTCAAACTAACCGATAACGCGTTTATTGTCTAACCACAGGCATACACAACAATACAAAAATAAGGAAGAGAAACAAATACAAAACAAATTATAATTAACAGTGAAAAGAAACATAAAAATAATTATAACTTTTATAAAAAAAATCCAATCTCGAAAGTTTGAAGAATTACGTTTGCCAAGTTGTATTGAAATCTGTTAAGGGAAAGTGGCTGAAATCCAATAAACCGAATTCGTAATACCCTAATTTGCCAAAAATACAATCAAATTCATAAACTCCTTTTTTTGAAGCCGGTTAAAAAGGAAATTAAATAAATATAGATAACAGACATTCTGTTTGCCATAGAACTAGCATTATTTGGTCTGTATAAATTTTATTAAGTTTTCCCGTGATAACTGGATAACTACATGTAGCCAAACGTATTTTATTTAAACAATATTCATTTAATTATTTTATTACCAACAGATTACATAGAAAAAATAAGATTAAAAGACAACATTTGGTAAGACGCAGTTCTTATGTGTATGCCAATCACATTACTATCTATCATCTGCAAGGTTTAAATCGCTCTGCAAACTACATGCCGTAGGCATTGCTATTTTGGAGTAAAACTAATTAAAAAGCACGCAAGCATTGGTGAAATTACAGGCACATGAGATTTGTCAACTTAATTTAAGTCTCAAGGTGACAGGGTGCAGTGGCAGTGCCCCTCAGAACTTTGCGTTTTAATAAATCTCTGAGTGGAACTGCAATTGTTATGGACAGGTGTGTTGCTTACCACCAGAACCACGACTTGTTCGTCCTGTCACTTGGTATCATAAAAAAAAGCAGACAATCATAATAACAATCTAAACTTTCAGTCTCGCTACATTTCTACGTCCCGACAAAATAATTCGAGATTAGACGGCCTCGAAAATCCCATGAAATAACGAGACTTTCGAGATTATTTCAAAAGTAGGTTTCAGTACGTATATGCTAGGCATTGAGGTAGCTAAAAATTATATTTTAATCAACTTCTTTATTATTAACTGAAATTATAAAACCAAAATTTTTTGATAATTTTTTAATGGGCTTTAACATATCGCCCGCCGTCCACGCTACAATTCTAGATTAATAAATATTACACCGTATAGTATACTGTCTAGCGTGCAGATATATGTAATCGCTAATTCTATCATCTTTAGACAAAAAATACTTAAAAATTATAATATCCTATCAAAAACATGAAACATAAAATAATCGAGCAATCTTCACAACCCTTTCAGCTTGGAAAGCTGTGAATTCTGCATATAACAAAATCGATATTGTTTATACCTTTACTGTCCATTGAATAAAGTACATACATACGTCTTTGAGACTACGCGAATAAACTGTTATTTATAGAAAATCACGCGGCATAAGCACTACATTACCATAGCTTTCTTATATTTATATTGCAGAAATTATCAAATATTTCTTTTCTTCAATAATTATCATAATTATTATTTATACTGAATCATATTTTCGTCATAATTATAAATACAAAATTCGAACACAGAGTAAAATTCATTCGATTATTCGATCAGGTTGGATTCGAACCAGCGTCTTCAGCATACTAGGTGGACGCTCTCCGAACTAAGCAACGGAACGAACCAGCAGACCCAACGAATTTTTCCTTGA